GCAGGTACTTTTACACGGTATCTCTGAGAGTTATATCAGCACTAAAATGTCGTTTTAGTGTTGTTGTAAATGTTGTGGTGTAAACTTCTGGGTTGCTGCTATCACCTTTTTGTGAATAAAGTCTTTGATGTTTATTAGTGTTTGGGTAAAAACACTGCCTGATTACTTAGTTCAAAGCCAGTAGGTTCATAGCGAAGGACTTGAGAGATGATTGAGGACTGATTAAGCATGTAAATGTTTAGAAAGTGCTCCCAAAGGGCAGAAGTCTCTGAGGGCCTGCACACGGTCAATATACCCGCAGTGTCACAGCCAAGCTAGACAAGTCATTATGTTTGTGCCAATGCAGACAGGTTTAATTCTGAGATACGTGGCTTGCCAAGTTTTTCCAGTGCCCTTTCCTCCATTGGAAGCAGGTTAATTTAATATTGCTTGATTGTGAAGTTATATTCTCTGTCAATTCTGTGTTTCTGTAGTATAATATGGTAGTTTCCAGTGTGGGTATTTCTGTTAGTTTGGGTTCTGCATTAAGTTGCTTGTAGTAATCTTATAGATTGTAACTTTTGCTAGTAAGTAATGAAAGTACAGTTCAAAGTCTTAAGAGAATCTAATTGATTAAGATGTAAGATTCCTGTAACTAAAGAAGAATAACTTAAAACACTTTGGAAGTATAGTTTGTACATGTCAGTCAAGTGGGTGTGTTACAAAGACAATCTGTCCTTCCTCACTGCAAATTTGTAGGGAATATTTCATTTAAAATACTTCCCTAAACTATTCAAGCTGCTACCCTTGCACAATACTTTACAGTGAAATCAGAAATGCAATTAGAGCTATCTCTTTCCAGAGTGTGAAAGATTACCGGAAGCATTCCTCCCTTAGATTAGTGATTTCTAGATTTTGCACTTTGGTGCGGTGTCAGGGAGCGTTTCTGAAACCACTGAACAGCAAGGCCATTCAACCTGCTATATCTGCAAATACTGTGCAGTAGTGTTCTGCTGGCCAGCTGCATGTTACAAACCATTTTGGAGTATGAAGCACTGCAGTTAATCTAGCAATCACATAGACATTTAATGCACAGGTGCAGGACTTTGTCAGATCCACCATAGGTTAATATTTATGAATGAGTTTTAAGTTGTCTGACCTCCCCCCCTAAAAATGTCTGTGAGTCTGACTTGTCACATTTACTTCACTTCCTAGATTGCTTCTATCATTTTTTTTCAGCCTAAACACTTAATCCTAGTTTTCTTCTTCCCTTTCTTTCCCAATTCTATCTTGCTAGTAGATATGACCTTTCAGGAAGCTATTTTTTTGTGATCTTGATATGTTTACTTTGGTTTATTCATTCTTCTCAAACATTGCACTCAGTTGTGAGAAGTGAAGAAACGTAAATAGTTTATCTTCTGTGTTTCGTTTATTTTGTGACTGGCTGTTTTATGTGTAGAGGTTTGTATTTTCAAACTTTAGCAACCAGAAATCAACGGGCTTTTTGCTGCCTGTTTGAGAGCTGAAATTGTTCTGTTGTAAAATCCCAAGGACTAGAAGTCTAAAGACCCTCCTTCCCTGCCCTTAGACTTTGTGATAAAATTTTTGAGTGCTGGTAATACAGATATGAGCACCAAACTGTGATGGTTAAGACAGCCTAAGAAAGATGAGGGGCGAGTCTGAGGCGTTTTAATTGCCTATATTCAGCTCTGGACAAATCCTGTGACTGCTCTTCAGCGTTTATGTTAATCTAGTCTTGTAAATGTTATAGCTGATCAAGGTATGTTCTGTGCCCCGTATGTGCTATTTCACTTGTTTTCTCCTCATCCTGTTCTTTTGCTTTAAATTCTTTTGAACAGGTCCATGTTGCTTTGTTGGCCTGTAATATAGCACATTCATGTAGTCAGTACCTTAACTAAGACTTCAGGAATACCAGTGTAAGAGAAGGGAGGAGATCAGTATGTTCCTATTCTGGGCAGTTTCCTCTCCTTGGGAACTACCAGCATGACTATTCTTACCTGCCACAGCCAAACTCATACACGCACTGAGCGTTTTGACTGTTTGATATTGTGCTGTCCAGAGATGGTTTAGAACGAAGAAAGAGCCAGTGTCTGGTGTGTGTCTCCTGGAGAGCCTGTGAGTGCATCTGTGCTGTGGCCTGTGAGGTACCTCTTGCCATGAAGCCTTGTGAGTGCTGCAGAGCGAGCCCTTCCGTGCAAGGACAGTGGAGATGAGGAGGCTTCACTTCATGCATTTTGAAGCATCTCTCAGAAATGTGGATTAGGAAGCTTGTGGAAAAGTGGACACAGAATGTGCACTGAAAATCAGAAATACCCTGCATCAGATTGTAACTGCCAAGTGGATGCTCAGATATAAGCTATGAGAGCAGAATATGTTATACTTCCCCTTATGTACACGACACTTTTCCAGTTTTCAGGTCTTTTCAACTCAGACTTTCCAATCCAGACCTGGTTTCTGTGTGCCGAGTAGTTCTCGGTGGGTGCTCTCCCGTGAGCTGTGGGTGGGTTGGTGTCAACTCAAACCCTTACATTTAGTTTAGGCGTATCTTCATTTTTATATACTAAGCATTTACTTGTTAAGAGTAGCGTTTGTGTAAATTGAGATATTATGCCATGAATGGGGTTCTTGGGTAGATAGGAAACATCAGATCATCTATAGAACTGAAAGAGTCTTTGGAGCACTGCAGATAGGATAATATCCCTGTTTAATACTGTGCAGATAAAGTAGCTTTGAAGTGTTTTAAGTGCATCAATTCTGCAGTGTTAAATATTGGTTTAACCACTGTAGTGTAACTGAATCCCTGCAAAAATTGCGCAAACAGGTCCTAGTCTGAAATCCCTCTCTTACTTGGAATTTTTCAAAGTCTACTTAAAATCATATTTATTATGAAACATCTGTGTGATTCAGGTGAGGTCAGAACATATTCTGTGCTGTTCATGTTTGTGATTGTGATAATTTCATGTGTAGTGTATCCGTTTTTTACCTGTATGACCAGCTATTCTGCCTTCTTGGGCTTTCGTGACCTTTTTTGCTCAGCATAATGGCGTGTGGAGGAAATTTGAACTATGTTTGCAGGTGCTATCTCAAGAGTCCTGTAAAGCCAGGCTGTGCAAACTTGTAATGTGTACCTTTACTTACTTGCAGTTCTTCCTGCTCTGTTTTTTTCTCTCTTCCCCACCACCTGAGTTAAATTAAGATTAGGATATGTCAAACTTTATTGTAAAGAATTAACATTGTTATTTCAGTAGTGTTTTGTTTGTAAAGAATTCAAATGCTTGAAACTGAGATGTTTATTTAATCTTTTAACGTGAGTGAGTTCCCTTGCTTCCAAGAGGTCCTTAGCAGGCTTGCAGGGTCCTCACAGGCTGCAAGGTGCACTAATGGAAAGGCTTCCCTCACACTTCATGATTAGTATGGTGGTAGAGCAATTTCTTTCCATGATGGTGCATTTGTGTGTTATTCTCACAATCTTACTGTAGGTAAATACTGCCACCATATCCCAAACATACAACTTTTACTGCATAAACAGCACGACTTTCTAATAATCGTACCCCCTAGTAGAGCAATAGAAAATAAACTTTATGCTGAAGGAATTCTGACATAACTCCAAACTAAGTGCTCGATTTATTTTGAAACACAAGGTGTGTCTGTGTGCTCTTTTTGAACTGTTCATTTAATGAAGAAGATGGTAGAGAAGGGATATGATAAACAGTATTTTTCTTTGGTCATATTTCCCTTATGCTAACAGGGCTGGAAGTTCCTTGTTTCCAAGAGAATGCAGTCAGTTATTTCAATGCTTTTTTATTTTGTCTTTAACCCAATGTTAATTGAAGGTGGACTGATATTTGTACACCAACCAATTGGGAGGGAGAAGTCATTGCTTTATATGTTTTTCCGTTTAAGTGGCTAATGATAAACTTAAGTTCAAGTGGATGTGGAACTGCTGGAGAGAGTCCAGCACAGGGCTACAAGGATGATCAGGGGCCTGGAACATCTGCCCTATGAGGGGAGACTGAGGGAGCTGGGCCTGTTCAGGCTGAAGAAGAGAAGGTTGAAAGGGGATCTGATCAGTGTCTATAAGGACCTCAAGGGAGGCAGTGAGGAGGATGGTGCTGGCCTCTTTTCAGTGGTGGCCACTGGCAGAACTAGAGGTAATGGCCACAAACTGAAGCACCAAAAGTTCCACAGGAACTTAAGGAAAAAAATTTTAACAGTGAGGGTGACAGAGCACTGGAACAGGCTGCCCAGAGAGGTTGTGGAGTCTCCTTCTCTGGAGATCTTCAAAACCCGCTTGGATGCAGTCCTGTGCCATGTGCTCTAGGTGACCCTGCGTGTGCAGGGGGGTTGGACTAGATGATCTCTAGAGGTCCCTTCCAACCTTAAGCATTCTATGATTCTGTGATTCTATGATTCTTTTTCCCAAACTGTGGGCAGGCTCAGCCATGAGTTCAGAGCCTGAGCTTGCACAAGTAGCTGGGTAGAAGCTCTGCTCTACCCCATGGTTGTTTCTGTAGGGGAAGTTCCTAGAAGGATGAAATCTGTCTTTGGGGTGTAGAAAACTAAGGTCATGTTCAGGTAACTGAGCTATAGCAATGTTGACAGTCCCTTTAGCTTAAACTGTTGCTGTAACAGACAGTATCTCAGAAATTTAAATTGCTGACATAGGAACTAGAAATAAGTTGGTTTTTTTCTTCCTCTGAGTTCAGAAGTGTTACCACTCACTTAAGTCTTAGGACAGTAGAAAACTCTACCATAAAAACGAATGTGCAGAATTCATGCATTCAGAGATGCATGTGCACATAATTATGTCTTCTTAGCCTAAGTAATTGTTATTACGTTGTGTATAGATTACAGTTGTGTATAAAACAGTGTGGCTGTCAGGTCTTCTTGGTATTACTATCACAGACATGGGTTTATTTTTCAATGGGGGCTTTTTTTCCCTCTCTTCCTTTAGAAATATGACTTACAGCTCACTCTGTGCTTTCTTTTGCTTCCTGTAGGCTGGCACCAATGCGGTTATATACCCTGTCCAAGCGGCATTTTGTCCTGGTCTTTGTCGTATTCTTTGTTTGTTTTGGTTTGACAGTCTTCATAGGAATAGCAGGTAAGGAAGCTGCGTTTTTTAAAAGATTAAGTTTTTGATTGCTTTGTCTAAATGTTTTGGTCTTTACAGAAGTACTAAGATGCTAATGAGCTTAGTGTCCCTGCAATGCCTGAGAAGGTTTTACTGTAAAACTACATCTGGGATTTACAGGGAGGGGCAACCATTTATTCTGTCTCATTCTTTCAGAGAAGTGCTGCCTACGCAGGTTTAGTATTTGCCTTGCTTTGTAGGGTAGAGGAACTAAGATAAAAATGAGAAAAAAAAGAGCTTCATTATAACATAATTTTCCCCCAGACTGTTACATTAATTTTCTTACTAGGATGTCCATCTGTGAAATGATGCTGCTAATATTTGGTCTGCTCTTCGGAAGTTGATAATTGTTTGTAAAGCCTTATAAATGTTGAGTGGTAAGTGCCACAGAAATACAAAATATTTCAATAATGTAAAAATAGGAGTGTCTGTTGTTGAACACACATGAAATTAGTTCTTTAGTTTTGAAGGCTTCTGTGAAAGTCACAAAATAATGTGGAAGACTGAATACCATTAGTGGCTGGATACTTGTCCTAGAGATCAGCCTGCTGTGTTTCACACCAGACAACCTTTGCAGGTCCAAGAGATACTTGAAAAGGAAGTTGGCAGATTCGCTTGACTAGAGAGCTGCCTAGTGCCTCAGGGCAGCTTTGTCCCCACAGAAATAATGTGGGCAGGCAGGGAATGGTCATGCTCATTAAGCAACCCCTTCCTCCCCTGCTGGAACATAACTTTAAGACTTTATCATCTCCCCCAAATTTACTAACTGTTTTTCCCTTAACCAGGATTTTCTCTTGTGTCAGTCCTTGACACTTCTCTTAAGTGCCCATAAACTTGTCGCTACCTCTACCCCATCCTACTTTCTAAGCCAAGTAGATGGGACACAGGTGGGACATATGTTTATATCTGGGTCATGTAGCGGCTCCCCACTCACAGCTAGATATCCCACCCCTATAGTCTCTCCCCTACCCGTCCTTACTTGTCCCCATTAGAATTAGGTGGCCCATGGAGCCTTATGACTCAGCTGCTCCTGCCTGCCTGGGGAAGAAGAGGTGGTTAATTTGAGACAGCTGTTGTCCCTCCACACCTGATAGGCAAGATGCTCTTCATAATAACATTAAATAATAAAATCTGCCTGCTAAGTAAGATCTTTCTTTCCTGCTGTTTGACTTAGAGTAGAAGCCTAAGGTGCACATAGACTGCATTCCAGTTCGTAAAAATAAAATAGTGATATTCCTTGTGACTTGATGCTGAAGGGCATTATTTGACTCTTAAGGTATAATATAAATGCATTTATAAAATCACATCTTGCATGAACAATTAAGTGTAAAACCGGAATATCTAAATTTGGTTTAAAAAGTGGGCCATACTTGCAGTTCTTTGTTTTTATATGATTCTTGTGTATTGACAGCTGCAAGAATGTTCCAAAAATACTGTAATTAGTAGGCAGAGAGCAGTGTTCCTGGAAGATAAAAGCTGAGTATTTTCTTCCTAATGAGTAGTAATCCTTGAAAGAGAGCTCTTGTTGGTGCGCTGTGCTGTGTGCCCGTGCCCTGAGGTCATGCTGCGGCTGCAGGGGCCTTGGATGTGCCCACCGCGGTTCCCTTCAGGAACTGCCGCTGCTGCGGGATTCTTGTTCTCAACGCACTAGGTTGCTGACAGAGCAGAGATCCAGTGCATTGTTACAGCTTAATTATTTTTAAAAGAAATATGTTTACTTTGGGAGGAGAACCACTGAACACTTAAACTGTGGTGTTCTTCGTGGGTTTCATTGACAGCTTCCTGCTTCTTTTGAATAAAGGGAGAGGTGTTCCCGAAACAGTGCTCACTCATGTATGGGTGCACAGTGAGTAAAACTCACCAAACCCACTAAGTAAGTGCAAAGGTGTCAGCTGTGCTGCTTGTACACACCGTTCCTCATACTCAGCATCTCCAGCTGCAGTTTGAGAAGCCTAGCAGAACCCTTACTTCTCATCTGAGAGAGAATGGTTGAATCTGAGGTAGCTGTTTCTCTCAAATTTTTATATCTTCCCTTTGATCTATATGTCCATGACATTTTGGGGCATCTTGAGATAAGTCCAAGGAATATACAGGATGCTAAGCTTTTTCTGTACATGAGCATAATTTTTCAGTTCCTTGACTTAGTGGGGTTCTTTGCAGTCAGGTATGGTTCTGTTGACTTGGCAAGACTAAAAGGAAAACAACAGTGTTACTTAGTCACTGTTTCTTAATAATGTGACCGCAGCATCCCTTTGGTCTGTTGCTTTAAGAAGCTTTAATATATTGTGTTAAAAAAGCAGCAGTTATTGTAACTGCCCTAGAACCTCATGAATTTTTTGGTTGCTGCTTTTAAAAACTGGGATTATGACCCTATTCTACTCCAGTATTTTTCAATATCTTCTAGTGAAAAAGGGAGAAAAGAAGCCTCTAAAAAAGATCATTCTTTATCATTTAAATGCTGGAATATAGTAATATATCAACTGTGACCACTAGTTAAAATGTCACTCTGATTTTTAAAACAAATACAGCTTTCCAAAATAATAATCTGGACAGTTTTTTACATCCTTGAGAACTGGAAAAAATCCGTAATTTAGAATTGACTTTGTAGCAGGTGGCTGTTGGTGAAGTTGGAATGAATTTTAATATGACGGTTTAAAGGTGATGGGTCAAATACTTTAATTTTATATTTCAAGTCACTAGTATGGATGGTCACTATTTTAATTAAGAGTGCTTGCAGAATCCCAAGCAATGCTGCATATTTAGAGCTGTCATGACAGCTCTAATACTTTAAAAATACTTCTTGTCTATAAAGAGTCTATGTTGCTCATTTATAAACTCCTTTCCAGTGTTTCTTCATATTAACTTAGAACACTTAGGTCTTTTTGAATAGTTGAATTGCTTTTGTATTTTTTAATAACAAATTTGTGGCTGGAACAGCATGTATTTTGAGGGCTAATAACTCCCATTAAGTTGGCAGACTAAATAAGGGATGAGAACCTTTGGGTGGGGAAATCTAGTTGTAATTGGGAAGCCTCTAGATGACCCAAATATGTACATGTATGTCCTACCTATGTAGGGCTGTACTCCAGCATCCTCATCGACAACACAAGCAGCTCCATCCGCGCGTGGGTGACTTACAGCTGGACGGCCTGACTGCCTCTTGTGACGGGCAGAGGGAGCTTCTTTGCTATGCGGACCTGTCTTCTGCTGGAAAGGGCAAAAGGGTTTTTTGGGGAGGATGTGTTTGGTTCAATGTGAAAGAAAAAAGCAACTCATGCTGAAAGAGTCCCAACTTGTTATTTATCTCCTCCATGGTCTTCTACACCCCAGCGTATAGATATAGATCTTCTCTGTTCTTTTCCTTTGATTTTTCAATCTTGGTTCTTTTGTGTACATACATATGCATACCCAGGTATCTTTACCTCTTCTCACAGATAATATATGTTCTTGCAGACCTAAGAAGACAAAGGGGAGACTTCATTGCTGTCTGAAACCACCTTACTGGAGAATGTAGAGAAGGTGGAGCTAGACTCTTTTTATAGGACAAGAGGCAATTCATGCAAATTGAAACATGGGAAATTACAATTATATATTAGATTTTAAAATTTAATTTTACTTTTTGCTATAAACATGATTAAATCTTTGAGCAGATTGTGGGAATCTGTGGCTTTGGAGGTGTTTGGGGCTTGACAGGCATGAGCAGCAGGATGTAATAGCTGTTTTGAGAAGGATGTTGGTCTAGATAACCTCTAGGGTCTCTTCCAACATAAATTATGATTCTATGGTTGCCTTTTTTTGTATACAGAACTAGAGCCAGGATAGGGGTGGACAGATGCAGTTGATTAATGTCCGTGAAGTATGTGTGACTGGATCCAGAATGACTGGAGGAGCAGTTGGATAAAAAGTCTGAGTGAAGTGAATGTCTCCTACAACTGCCTGTGAAAACTCCATTAATTAAATGGAGTATATATTTTAAGAGAAATTCTTTATAGAACTTTTATGCAATTAATATTTATTTATGTTAATGTATAGAGATGTATGTGTGTTTATATTGATATATTTTACATGCTACAGTCCCCGCACTTCTGTAGAAAAGGAGAGCCCAGTCTGAGACCTGTCCTAAACCAACATGTAGGGAATTTTGCTTGAACAGATCCATGTGATTCAAAATCCAACACTTACCACAAAGTACTGTTGTTGTGATTGTACAAACAAGTATGCTTTAGATGCACAAAAAAAGACAGCAGCGTCATGCAGTTGGGTACAAAGGGGTGTTTCTTCCCTAGCATCTCAGCGGTAAAGACGAGGCAATATGAATGTTGTTACTTAGTGCATCAGGTAATGGGAGCAGTTTGGTTGTGGCAACTTGGGAGTTCAGTGCACTCTGTTAGGCTGCTTTTTCAGGTGTGTTTTCCGGTCCTTTGTAGAGCTTCCAGCTGCTGTGTCAGCAGTGTTACTGGTGCTTAGCTACCTTTTCTCTAGCTGAGTACTTTCATGGCTGCAGTGTATTCAAATCTTAACTTGAGAAAAATACCCATGTAAACTATGTAAGCGTGCTCAGAAACACTATGGCAGAAATGCTTAAAGGAAATTAGGTGTGGAGAAACAATCAGGCCAAGGTTATTAAGATATTTACATGTCTAAGTGACTGACCTTTCAGCTTAAACATTGGTAAAGTGGGCTGTTATTTATGTGCCTCCCAGGGATGTTTCCTAACTATTTTGTATAACCTTTTGAAATACTGTATTTATTTTGTTTCTTATGAGTGATATACATCAATATTCCTCTTTTTTTTTTTCTATTTCTATATTGTATAGGCCCTAATGTTATTGAAACTTCTGTAGCAAGAACTGACTTAAATAACAGCCTGAAGGTAAGAATTAAGATATATTGTTGGATTACATTAATGGCTTTATTTATTTTATGACAATGGTTAAACACTTCTCTCCTCCCTCCTCCATCCCCTGCCTCGCTTTAAGATTATCTTAGACAGTTAGATTTTTTACTACCACTGTGTGTTTCAGGAATGACACTGCAGTAATTTCTAGTCTCCTGTGAACAGGTCACCTGTGAGCAGGGAGGGCAGGGAATTTTGCGTTAGGTGACACTTCTTTACAGTAATTTTTGATAAAGTAACACTGAGTGTTGATAGGATTCCCTAGAGAGTGAGTAATGGAGGTTCTTGTAAAGACCTAGAAAGAGAAATTGAGAGCAGAAATGGAAAAACAGTGCTTGGTGACAACTGGTAATCGCCTTCCTCTCGTTTTCCTTTCTGTCAGCTGGGAAGGAATGTTTCTTTGTCTTGTTCATTGTTTGCTATCAAGTGACTGAGGCAGTGAGATGCAGCTTTCTAAATGAACATTTACGGTCATTTTCTTGAAAGCTTGAATATTAAGCTCTCATTTTTATTTTCAGTTATTCTGTTCTCTGTCTGTTTCGGCCTAGTTCTTCACTGTCAACTTCAAATCTCAAGTAATTTTGGTGAAAATGAATGAATTTTGTTTTTTGGAAGTATAGTTTCTTTAACTGCACTGACCTTTTTTATTGTTGTTGTTCATTAGTCACTTGACTAATGCCACTGAATTGGCAGTGTATTTTAGGTGGACTTCTTAAAAATCTGGGGTTTATACAAAGTAATAAAAGTCTTCCCTGCATGTGGGTTTTATTGCTAATGATATCCTCAACACTTTTGAAATTAAGGTGGAATTTTTAGAAAACCTACTGTAAAACTAGCTGCCATTTTCGTACTTAAGAACTGAAGGGGTTTTAAACTGTGAAGCAGATGGAGGGCTAGAAATCTAACTCTTAGTGTAGATTTTCAGGATTTTCTTCTCTCTACTTTTTCTTTTTTTACTGCCACTTTTATATGCTTTAAGTACTTATGCCTTTTCTGAATTCAGTGCCATGCCAAAAATGAAAGCTGTTTGAACTGCTTCTCTTATTAAAGTATTTAAAACTAAAGTGTTATTCATCCTGTCAGCATAGCAGCATGTTAAATTGATTCCAGAAAAGACTGTCACACACACACAGCTGTAACATGCCTTTGATCATTACGTGTCCAGATGTATGATACAGCATCATAACTGGTAGTAACTTTTTTTTGTTGCTTTTGTTTTTACAGCTGAAGCCATTTAATTTAAGTTCACCACCACTGTCTACTTACAATCAGCAGCTGTGGCTGACCTGCATAGTTGAGCTGGATCAGCACGATGGTGAGAATCTCACCCAGCTTTTCATAAAACTGCTGTAGTACCCTGGTTATGCATACAATGCCTGTAGTTTCATGCATCTGTCACATATGTGATCTGTAGGTTTATGGCTGTTGCTGGTAGGTTTTTCTTCTGAAATAGTCTCTCCCTCTCTATTTCCTGCCCCCCTGAAAAGACATGGACAGAACTAGTCTTGAGAATTGGGGGCAATGTGTTTGTGGAATAAGTTGTTTGTTTCTGTGAAAACAGTGGTATGTGGAAAATCTGTGTCTCTGTTTCTCCATTTTGGGGACTATTAGATATGTATATAAAATCTGTGTCTCTGTTTCTCCATTTTTGGGACTATTAGATATGTATAAGTAATATTAATTATGCAATAAAATGACTGCAAGTATCTAAGAAATTTTGTCAGAAATTGTAATCTGTTAATGTTCAGTCCAAGCATTTATGACTTACTGCCTGAATGTATAAATAAGAAGTGTGATTTCATTTTTTCCCACTCTAATAAAGTATAACAGAATAACTTCCAGTAATATTTTGGCTTTTATGTGTTTTGAACTCTGTTTGTGATTTCCTATGTGCATGTAGCAGTAGCTAAATGTTTTCTCTTCAATTGCAGTATCGCTCAAGAAGAATGTTACCATGGCAGTCAAAGTGCTAGGGGTGGTGAAGGATGGAAGCACACCGTTTGTTAATAATCAAGTCCACAACCGCACAAGATTGCTCAACTGTGCACAAGTACGTGCTTTTTTAAGAAAAATTCTGGTGCAGAATTGTCATTTGAAACTTGATGTGCCTGAAACTTGATGTGCCAAAGGCACTTGATGTGCCTTTGAAGGAAGTCTCATGGAAAAGCTGGAGTAAGGTTTCATTTATGGTAAAAACGGTGCTAGTAATCCTGAGCAAGCTATCTACTTACCTATGTCTTTATTAATAGTAGTATTACTATTGCTTTACATGACTCATGTGCATTACAACTTGTTTCTTGTTAGCCCAGCTCACTGCCAGCCACACAGTGTTTGCCATTAGTCAGTTAGATGGATTAGCAGTGTTGTAGTGGGAGACTGGGTCTCATCCAGCACCTAGCTGAGAGTCTGTCTGAAATCCTCTAGAAGGTAGATTCTGAAAAAGCCAGTTTCTTTCCATCTGAGAGGTTTTGGATATCTAGTATAATTTTAACTGAAAATGTTAAACTTGATCCAAATCTTTTAGGAAGGGAATAGCTTAAGTTTCTTTGCTGGTAAGCATATAGCATAAATCAAGTGTTTGGAACTTTTCATGTATAAAATTACAGCGATTAGGGAACTCAGTGGCCTGTTAGATTTAATTGCATGCAGCAAAAGACTAACATGCTTGGGTTTTTTCCTTCCTTCATGCTAGCTTAAAAACATAATTAGTATAAGATTGTCCCATCTCACTGTCTGGTGATTTACTGTTTGACTGACAGAGTTATTTAGATCCTTCCCAGAGCTGTAGACAATTTCTTTTGCTAGTTTTAGTCAAAAGTTGTATTTATTGGTTTGACCTTTATCCTGCTGACTTGACTGCTTTGTCAGTATCTTCTGCTTTGTCTGATATCTTTGAAGGAATACTCTGTCTGCAGGCCTTGCTTGAGTAAGTGCTCTGACTTATCAAGGCTGTGAGACAGATAGTAAGTGTCATCCGTATCTGACCATTTTAAAACATTTTTTTTTCTATCTAAACTACCAGTGTGTATTGTGGAATAAATTGAAGGTTGCTACATGTTATTTTTTATTGTGTGTGTTCACAGAAATGTACTGAAATCATTGTTGCTCACCTTGGCTACCTGAATTATACTCAGTACAACATATTTGTTAACTTTGAAGATCTAAATAAGTTAACTTATACTATCCAGAATATTACTTTCACAGTAAGTATAATTATTTTAATAACTAGTGCTGTAGAAGTCTGCTTTATCAGTACTAAAAAAGAAAAGTTATGTTGCTTTGCAGAGGAAACAAAAAGATGCATCACAATCAAATTTCCTTTTGCTGATAATGTCAGAACTATTTTAGCATTTGCTGTTAATAAGGTCAATTTACCTAAAACTATGGGGAAAGGTTTTTCTTTCAGAAGAGCTAATGAGTGCTGTTTGCTGGGGCAGGTAATTCTAGTGTAGTTGCTGGGAATTAATTAAGAGTAGATAAGCTAGGCTAGAACATCTGCTTTTCTGCATTTGCTTATAGAAGCATTGGCTTTCCAAAGCATAGTGTCTTTTTATGTCTTTCTGGTAACTCTGTCTGAATTAGCAGGATTTCTCCAAGTTTTCCAAAAACTTGAGCTGGAAAGATACAACAAACTGATAAGCAAATGGTGGGGCGAGAGGGAAGACTGTGCATATAAAGAAGAAAAAATGCTTATTCAGCCAAGACAAGCATGCGTTACTTAATGAAATAGCTAACTCAGTTGACAGCACTAAAGAGTGTTTACAAAATATTTGTTTTGCTAGCGTGTGACGAGTGTAGGAAGAAGTTTAGTAACATTTGCATTAGGAAAAAATGGAATTGAGTTTATAATACAGGTTACTATGCTATATTGCATTTGTAAGTAGAATTCTGTATTGGAGCAGGTAGAAAGCAAGTAGCAAGAATGTTACTCTAAAGAAAAAGTGGTATTTAATATGCTGAGTGAACGCTGGGTGTCTTGATATTTACGATTCTCTTGTGTATAAAACACATTATGAATAAAAATCTATGTAAAAAAAAGCTGTCAAATGTATTGCTTAGTCCCAGATTTTAAGCAGGATGAAATGTTGGAGCATTTAGTGACTCTCTTTATCATATTTCTTTGTAGATTTGCATGTAAAAACAAAACATCCCAAATCCAAAACCCTGTTTGCCCACAGCAAGTGAAATGATCAATTTAGTTCATTCTTACAATGGTTTATAGTGATTCCGGCTGAAATCACAAATTGGCTAGTGTATAAGGGGGTGCTCTATTTATTTTTTCTTTTTAACTTTACAGCTTAAACACAGCAGATAGAGGTCAACAGACTAATTACATAGTGGAGTAAAGCTTCTTGTAGAAGTGTATGTTGTACCAAGATCTGTACATTTCAGAAGTGGTTTCAGGAGAGAAACATGCAGTATATATGTTAAACCATCCGCAGAGCAGAGTTTATGCAAACTGACATATTAAAATTAGTATTTCCACCCTCATACTAATTAGGGGAGTAAAGGAGCTTTTTTTTTTTTTTCTTTTTTTCATCACTTGTGAAAGAAATCATTTCTTTGACCTATGAAAGAAAATATTCTCATTAGTCTGTTTGTTTTTCCTTTCCTTTTATTTTCTGAAACACTTCTGAAACAAGAAAACAAGCCCTAAGAGAACATGTTCATTACAGGAAGTATGACTGCACCACATTAACTGCTTCATAATCAATTTATGCATCTGACCTTTTAAGTAAAAAGGAACACATGGGATTTAGTTAAATATTGAAGTTCAGACTTTGAATTAACATGAGATGAAAACCAATGAAAAACATTCTCTTTGTTCTGTTAAGTGCTTTAACACAAGGGAGAACATTAAGTATTTCAGGGTGAAATTGCAAGGTAAAAAAAGAAGCAAGCATATTATGCTGCTTTAGTTATCTCTTAATTGGGTAGTCCCATATATTTCAGGAAAAAAAACTTTAACTTGGGGGAAAATTATTATGAATTTGTCTTCATCTCTTCCCTGTGACATGGTGGAATTTGATTATACCTCTAAACTTTGAAAACCAAGGAAACCTTTCAGTAACGTTCAAGAAATGTTTTAGCAGAATGTG